TCCTTCCTTCCTTCCTTCCTTCCTTCCTTCCTTCCTTCCATGCTTTTGTAAAAAGAAAGGAAAAAGAGAAGAGATTAGTGTTAGAGTGAGGGTAAAGATGCGTTAGCCAGAATGGAAGGCTTTCTCGTTGCCATCGGAAAGACTAAAGAAAATTGAAAGCAGAGAAGCTCGCTCACAGGATTCCTCCCAAACCACACCCCACACCAGGGGAGCAGCCTTCGGTTACCTCGGGACAAAGAGGCAACATGGCATAATGTGATGATCCCAGGCTCTACCTGAACTCTGTGGGAACGTGGACACACCCTTTCCATGCTCTCGGCCTGTAGAATTGCGAAGGTCACTCCTAACTCTGCCTCCTGCACGACAGCAGGAAATACCATAGGCTTCTTCAGGCCTGTTCTGGGGTCTGCTGCTTTCACCTTCGAGAAGAACGGCATTGACTTGGACAGGGCTGTCTGACTGTCACACGCTCTAAGTCAGGGGAAGACAGAGGAGGTCTGCTCCCTTCCCCTGAGGAGCACACTGTCTGCAAGCCCAGAGCAGAGCCCTAGGGCCTGGGGGAGTGAGTCAGGGGAGGCCCTGGCTTCTCTGCCTGGAGAAGCTGGGAAGAGCTTGGAAGAGGAATAGCAACTTCAGATGAGCTGGACAATGAAGGATGCAGTGTGCAGTGAAGGAATTGACAGCTGGGGAAGAGGAAGGGCATTTCAGGCAGAGGGAAAAGAATATTTTAGGCTAGGAGGGGGGTGCTCTCCACTCACACCCTGAAACTGACCTGTGCTGGACCATAGGAGCCACCGTTAAATTTTCAGGAATATCGTGAGCTGGTTATTCAACACAGTTGTTACGGTGGGAGCCATGGTGGGCAGCATTCACACCACAGAAATGGGCAGAAGCTAACAATCGAGACTGTTACCCTTCTCCAGAAGTCAGTTTACCAGCACATCACCGATGTTCTCCTTCAAAAGAGCTTCGCGTTCCCTGAATGGTTTGTGCAGACAAAGCAATTCCCTTTTTATAAAGTTGCTCAGACTGGCAAGGGCGAGGAAGCTTCTAAGAAATGCCTAACACTGTCCATTCCAAGACCATAACTCTCTGCTGTACTCCCTGCAGGGCTCCGAGGTGTTTTTGGAGAACTGCCAATTCTGTAACATCAAGGTGAGAGGCTGCAGGGGGTGGACATGAGCAAGAATTCCTGCCCCAACCAAAGGAAATGAAGTCTTTGCCTTTAAGGAGGGGCTACTGTGGTTCAGGGTGCGGAGGCTCCTCAAATCCCCATGGGCTGGCATCCAGGTTTCTGGGTCTTGTAACCACAGCCCTACCCCTGCTCTTTATATCGAAGGGTATAAAGCCTCATCCTTGGCCTGTCTCTTCTCCAGGAGCAGAGATGGGTGTGCAGTGTACAGAGCTACACCCTCTCTGTCCCTGTCTCCCGGGCACCCCATGGCGCACACCCAGTGGTGGCAGACACAACACCCCAGGGATGCGGATTGGGTCCTTGTTTACACCAGCTCAGCATTCTAACACCTAGAGCTCTCCCCAGGCTGGTGCTGAGAGCACAGCATGTGGAAAGAGCACTGGAGTGGGAGCCACTTAGACCTGGCTTCCAGCCCAGGAGATGTCTTTCTATGTATAAAGGGGGTCCTGAAGCCCTGGGGACATCTCCTGATAGCAGGGAAGACCAGCGTCGCCCCCCATCTCTCTTCTCTGATGTCCTCTTGTGCACAGTGCTATATCGATGGGCCTGACGGGACACCCCCACACCGGATCTTCGCCTCTGAGCACGCCCTGCTCATGGGGCAGGCATCAGCATCACCCCTTTGCTTCCATCCTGCAGAGTACCATGTACAGGTGTGCAAACAGGCTGCTGCTTCCTGCATCCTGGATCAGAGCCCCAAGGCACCCTCTCCGCCCCTGCTGCCTTCATGCCTTCTCCTTCCTCTGCTCTCCTGTCTCCCTCTGCTCTCCTGTCTCCCTCTGCTCTTCTGTCTCCCTCTGCTCTCCTGTCTCCCTCTGCTCTTCTGTCCCCCTCTGCTCACCTGTCTCCCTCTGCTCTTCTGTCTCCCTCTGCTCACCTGTCTCCCTCTGCTCTTCTGTCTCCCTCTGCTCT